TATATTATAAATTATAAATAATTATAATTGTTTTATATTTATATTATATTACACTTTTTATGCATGCAGTGTAACTTACAGGCCTGTCCTGGTTATTAAAGGTTTTCTCACTAGTTTTGAAGTGTGATTCAAACTATATTTTCAAGTGCTATCATTTTTTTCCTGTTTGCTTAAGTTATTATAAGATTAAATGAGAAACACTTTCAATAGCTGAACACACAGTGTAGATCTGTAGTCCCACAAAGGAAACGCTGCAGAATGCAGATGCTGAGCTGCTTAGGTTAGTATTGGTTATGCTCATGAATATCCAACAGCAAAACTCCAGGCTTCTGCAATGACAAGGAATTAATAGGGTCATGCTGTTTTTAACCACATCTGACAGCAAAAAAAGTACTTTGTAGTTTCTCTTCAATTTCTCTTCAGTCTTGTTTGCAAAATTTCAATGTTAGGCTATTGTAAATGTTTTTCTAGTGAACATTGTAGGTGCACTTCAGAGACTATCGTGGCAGGATGGGAGCATGCTGAAAAATGTCTCTGCCTGTTCATCTTCACCTCACCCTTCTTTCTGTCTGTAGTGGTATTCCTCTACTTCTTGAACTTTTGCTCTGTCAGGAACTGCCTGACAGTGCAAATTTTGTTGCTTGTCTTTCTTAGTTACCTTGCCAGTAAGAAATAAGCTGCTTCTCAGTTTTTCTGATACAACTCACAAATTTCCAATAGCAGTGGTCAGACTGAAAGTTTTGAGCATCGGCATAAATGGCATGCAGTAGGCATAGACTCTGGGATCTGAAAAACTGTTCTAAGTATCAGTTTGTATGGTAAAGTTAGAACTTCATAAATCACAAAAATTTATCAGCTGAAGCTGATGGCTGTTGACAAAATATTTCAACTTCCTTTGGGGATATGAGTTAATGCATATTTTCCCAATATTGCTCTTCCTCGGTGATATTTTGAGGAAGATACCATCCAGTACTTTTGAGATGTCAGGTACAGTGGTAATGGACTAAAAAATACTGTTTAGGCAAGCTCTGCAGGAGCATGTACAGGGTTTGGCCAATAGTCTGACTAAATTTGCATGGGAGAAGAGGGTGTATTTGTTTTTGTGTATTTTTTTTGTTGAATTTTCTGAATGTATCAGTGAAGCTTCCAAGCTGGATTCACTTTAAAGGTGGTAGTTATTTAGAACCCTGTTGGCTTACCAACAGAAATGCTGAAACTTTAATTTCTTTATCTCTTTTGCTTCCTTTAACAAGTCAGCAGGTAGAGAGGTATTCTGGAGTAAATTGAACTCAGCAACAGCAAAATTATTAATATCATATTGGAGGTGAGAGTGTGTGAGCAAACCTGAAGACATAATGGAGTCTTGGACTGTAGCTAGGGCTTGTATTTGCATTAAATTAAGCTTAAAATTTTGGCTTATGTATGGATGTGTTTTAAACATTTATTTGGTAGTTTTAGGAGTAGATAGAAAATACAGTACAGCATGGTGTATCTCAGTTGAACAGTTCCTATTAGAACTTCAATTTTGTAAATTTCTCATGGTTTTATTTGATTTTTTTTGTTGTTTTGTTTTCCTCTCCCCAGCCTCAGACGTCAGTACCAACCGCTCAGTCTTCAGAGGCTACAGTACCTGATTGATTTGGGTAGAGTTGACCCCACGCAACCAATTGACTTGACACAGCTCACTAATGCAAGAGGTGTAACAGTGCAGCCTCTCAAAAGGGATTATGGTGTCCAGCTGGTGGAGGAGGTATGCATACAAGACACTTACAACTTCAGGCAGTATAAGGCCTTGAGTTTTCAGCTTTTCCATACCAGGCTGTCTGATTGTCCTTCCCCTGTTTTGGAAACATCTTTGCTTTTCTAAATCAATTTGCTGTGGGATTTCTGTGGTAATAAATCCGCTAGAGGGCACTGTGTGTCAGCAAAAAAGAGCCAGGGTGCTGTTTTAAGATCTGAGAGACTACAAAAATAATAGTTAAGGAGCACATGACAAGAGGTTGAACTGGTATTTTAGAGCAGAAGAGTAGAAAGTACTGAAAGAAATGTATGAATATTTTGGACAGGCAAACTTTTTTCGTTCAACTCAGGTGACTGAGAGTAATTTGGTTACTCATCTTGGTGCAGGGAACAGATAAATCACAATATTTTCAGGATTTAATGTTTCTTACAACTTTGCAGAGCATAAATGTATGTCCTAAAATAGAAATTTTAATGTTACTCTAATATGTGTTGAAATTTATAGGGTGCTGATATATTTTCAGCGAAAGTAAATATTGAAGTGCAGAGGGCATCTGAATTGGCAATTGCAGCCATAGAAAAAAATGGAGGTGTTATTACAACATCGTTCTACGATCCCAGGAGTTTGGGTAAGAATTTATCTTCATTTCTGACTTTTTTTGTTTTTTTTTAATGTGTGAAGATTAAATGATCTCAATCAAAGTTTCAAATGTAGTTCTTCCTGGAAAATCATCTGCTTCTGGTCTAAAATCTTCAACAACACATTGTTGTACAAACGTTGAACAGTAAAGCATCCTCAGTTTTGCTTTTTTCAACCATTCACCTGTTTAATTCTACCAGTGTTAGTAGTCATTTACCAATCAGCCAGTTAAAGAAATTCCCAGTAGCTTTGTAAATAGAGGAACTAATAAAAGATTGTGTTTTAAAATTTTTATCTTCTTTCTCGCACATTTAATAACCATAGGAAAATTCGGGGAAAAAAATCAGACTTAAAAAACACTGTGTATGTTTATCTTTTTAATTTAAAATACTTTTCCAGTTAAAGTGAGGGAATAACTAAATTGCAGAAGCTCAGAATCGTTCCAGTCAACATGGCCATTGTTTTCAGAACACTTTCACTGAAGAATGAGGCTTTGCTTTGCTTGAGGCTGCATCCTGCCTAATACTCATTCATGCACATTTTATTGACAATAATGGAGCTTTCGTGTGTGAATGAGACTGAGAACAGGAGGAATAGACATTTTTAGTGTGCAAAATATGTTTCCCTGGGCTGATAAAAGTTCCTTTTTTCCAATCTAGAAAATAATACAAATAATGAGGTTAAAATAATCTGGAATGTAATTTGCCAAATTCAGTAAAACTTCATAGTCTCACAAATTACTAAATAGGTGCCATGCCATTGATTCTTTAAAATACTTGTAGAAACACTAAATTTGACATTTGTTGTTACACTGTGTAAATAGCTGTTCAAATGCATTGCTTCTAACCTAGAAGTCAGTCCTTTAAATAAATGGCATCTTCTGGCTTAGTTATTGTGTCTCTCCATGGTAGGCTTTCTAAATGTATTAAAAGTAATGATTAATCAAGATTGTCACTAGAAATATCAGTTAAAACAGAGTTGGTTGTTTGGTTAAGTGAAACTTGGTAAACGTTTTCTCAGTCTGAACAAGAATATTCTTAACAATTTATTTTTTTGCCTGATACTTTTTAATAAGAATTGTTTAATTTATTTAACACAAAGTACAAAGTAAGGAGGTATCATTTAATGTCATTCAATATGTATTATAAAGCATCAAACCTAATTCTGTCTCATGTTTGCCCACAGAAATTTTATGTAAGCCAGTAGTATTTTTTCTGCGTGGCCAGCCTATTCCCAAGCGAATGCTTCCACCCGAAGATCTAGTCCGTTACTACACAGATGCCAAGAATCGTGGGTACCTGGCAGATCCATCTAAGGTTGCAGAAGCCAGGCTTGAACTTGCCAAGAAATACGGCTATGTCTTACCTGACATAACTAAGGATGAACTCTTCAAAATGTTAAGCGCACGCAAGGATCCTAGGCAGATATTTTTTGGTCTTGCTCCAGGATGGATCGTAAACATGGCAGACAAGAAAATTCTAAAACCAACTGATGAGAGGCTATTAAAATACTACAGCTCATGAATCCAGGACTGGAGACAACTGCAGGTGTACAGGAAACATCTGGGTATGAAATAATGGATACAAAGTGGTGTTTGTTTTTTTTAAGACTTCTGTTACACTAGACAAAACATAAATTTTTGTTTATGTAATCTTATGCTGTAGCTCTCAATTTTATTGTAATAATAAAGTATGAAAAGTCTTAACATTTGGGAACAATGTAGAGTCTGACAAAGTGTGTGTTTGGGCACTTTCTCTTGTAATGATTTGTCAGTTATTTTTTCAGACACAATGTTTTGACATTGCCTTTATTTCAGAAGACAATTCTAAAGATTAACTTGACTTAATAATTATTTTATATTTTTCCCCTCAATTTATAATCAGAAACATGCTTGTACAAAACTCATATTAGTCTTAACAATCATATTACATAGCATTATAATTTATGTTTTTATGGTATCTTGAATACCTCTAAGAGATAGACCATCTATTTCTGGAGGGGGAAAATGAAAAACAACCAGAAATAACAAAGTATGGAAGAATTCAGTAATCTTTTCAATTCCGTAACAATGTTTTGGATTTTTCCGCTGCTGTCAATAGCACTGGAGCTTGAGATGGCCCGATTTTTGTCTTATTCCTTTGCATGGAATTGAGAAAGACGGGGTGTGCAGCTTAAAAGAACTTTCTGTCTAAATTTAGAGGAAAACAAAGATAGCTATCTTAAATAAATGGCTTTTATCGTTCAAACAGAATTTAAAACTTGTCCAGACACAAATGTCGTGTCATGAATAAAAATGCATAGCAGAATCCAGAGTCATTGAATCTTAAGATGGTGACAGTAGATCGTGAAGGATGGGAATGTGATGGACAAAATAAACAATTAGGATTCTGTTTTCAGCTTGATCTCAGATTGTGTAGGTGGCAGCGCACAAATTAATGTAGATGTTGTGAAAAGTTATGAAAAAAAAACATTTTATGGTAATCAGTATTTTAATCACACCAAGTTGATACAGTCTTGAAAAATATTTTCCAACAACTGTCTTTTTCATTAATCTCTTCAGAATACTGTATTATTACTACGAAATGGTATTCTGGGTTTCATAGAGAAGCTTAGGATTGTGCATTTGGGATGATGAACCAATCAGTAAACTGAAAAATGAGAGGGGAAACTAATCTATCAGAACTTGTTCTGACACATCAGAACTTAATGGGATGCTTCATAGTTACGTGACCTTTAATGGAAGCTGAATTTGGCTTTAAAATAAGGATAATTTGGATATTGGAATGCAGGAAGTAGTCCAGAAGGACAGAACACAAGAATAAGTCTTGCTCTAGAATTTTCATGTGCCTTTGGAAGTGCCACTTGTAGTTTCCTGTAGCTGCCAAACCATTCCATCTCCTAGGGAAGGCTGTTTGCGTGCTAGAATCTCCTGTGTCTGCTGTAGGACACCTGTATTTCACCTGTGTGCCTCAAAGAGAGGGAGAAAAAAAATTCTTTCTTCTTTTTTTTTCTTTCAGGGAGTAACAAGAAGCAGGTGAATGTTGGTGTTTGTCAACCAGCCCAGATTTTTGCTCCTCTCGACAAAATTCTTTGTCAATGAATATGAACAACTGTAATCACAAAAAAAAAATAAAACAATTTTTCTAGTCTCATGCTGATTAAATAGTTTGAAATTCAGAGATTAACAATGGAAAGTCTAATTTTGGACAATTTACTCTTCAACTTCTACTTGTTAATGTGTGTTAGATGCTATCAGTAATGATCGTTCTCCTGACTTGTGGTTTAAGTATAGGTGAAACCTAGCAAAACAACGCCAATATAAAATGGGATTGTGAATAGCAGGAATTTGGTCTTAATGCCATTAACATTCACATTTTATAAAGTGCACAACACTTTTTTGGCACATTAAGAATAATGCTGTGTGCCAAAAAAAGTATAGCTAGTGTTAACTTGGATGTGAAGTAAATAACTTTCTCACTTTAGATGTATCCTGTTCTGCATCCTGATGATTGTTGGTTTGGAAACTTAAATGACAAGCAATATTTTTTTTTAAACTTTTTTTTTTCTTTTTGTTGTTACAATACTATTGCCTCCATTTGGGAAGGAGTTGGAGGTGGGGGAAGAGTATTTATTGCCTTCCCTTATTTGTGCCATAATGTTTCTGTTTTTATGAATCAATTCACAATTGTATTTTGTGGAGGTGGTGGTACTCAACAGGAAAGCTACTTAACTGGAAGTGAAGAAGGAAGTTAGTCATATTAGTGAAGACCAGAAGACAAAAGTGTTTATGTATCATTGTGTATTTTTGGGAGGAGAAGAGGGGGGGAAGGC